GCCCCCGATAGAAATTCGGTCCCTTTTTTCTCGTGTCCTACCTCGAAAAGCATCCAAATCTCACCGAATCTTCCTCCACCAGTTGATGCTCATCTTCGTCCTAGATGCCCATTCAAACTAGCCACATTTAACGTGCGTACCTTGATGCGTATAGGACAACAGACGTTTAGCTTGTACCCTAGAAACCCTGGCCGTCCATATATGTTGTATCCAATAGACTCGCATTCAAGAGTCTAGCTCCGCCATCCGATTGACATCCCTGTCAAACACATCCTGCGTCTTTCTGGGGACCCTGAGGCTGCGGCTTCTGGTCTTGCTGGCGTTAGCGTGGCTCTCAGTGAGAGAGTTGAAACCGCGCTCCTGGATTGGGTCCCAGTCGACAATAGGTTATGCGCAGTGAGACTTAGAGGCTCGTGCAAAGTAACTAGTCGTCGCTCCAAAAGACGCAACTTGTTTGTCATCTCAGCGTACACCCACGAAATGTAACCCAGATACAGTCAAAAATACTTTCTGTCAAAAGCTACACGACCTCTTGCGTAAGGCGAATCGGGCTGATATCTTGATTTTAGAAGAAGATATAAATGTTAGAGTAAGCCGACTGACTTCAAGTGAGGCGCATCTGGGTTGTCCTTTCGAACTAGATTCTTGTCGCTCGGAAAACGGGGAACGGCTGTTGGCTCTATGTTCTGACCACCGCCTATTCCTCATCAGTACGAACTTTAGACGCTCCAATTGCCGATACGTCACTTGGCGTCCGCCCTCATCGAGTCAGCGACAAACGCAGATTGACCACATCGCTATAAGCCACAAATGGCGGGGTTGTATTCAAGATTGCCGATTGTACTGGAATCCGACCACGCGTTAGTTTGCACCAAGCTATCCATGTGCTTCGGTGGGCGTCCTAAAAGTACGGTAGTGGCTGTTAGACTGCGATAAGTTGTCTCAACCTCAGGTCGGTTTAGGGCTTATGGCCAGCTTTCACCACCCTTCACCGTCTCCAGTGGAGTTCGACAAGGCTACTCTACATCCCCTTTCCTTTTCAACTTCGCCATAGAGGATGTTCTGCGGGAAGCTTTGTCCGGTCTAGCAAAGGGGGGAACAGAGTTCTTGACTTAGAATATGCCGATGACATCGCCTTGTTAGGTGACTATGCACAAGCAGTCCAACAAGCTTCACACCACTTGGAGATAGAGGCATCCAGGTGTTATGTGCTTTGCACCATCAAAGTGCAAAATGCTGGTTCATGACTAGCAGGAGCCTGTGCCTGCACTCACCCTCTCTGGTGATCAGCTGGAAGTGGTCGAGAGCTCTAAGCACCTCGGGAGCTTAATCGCAGCTGGAGGTGAGGTTGGGGAAGAGATCACATCACAAATAGCGAAAGCTAAAGCAGCTTTCGCCAACCTGCGACACCTGTGGCGCCGCCATGACATCGATTGTCCCGTAAGGGAAGGGTGTACATCGCCGCGGTCCATAGTATTGGTGCACGTGCGACGGAAAATCGACGGAGCATGATCCCAGCAAGAAGTTTGGAGGCGATGTTGATTGAACTAATTCCTATGTGGTTTACACAAGAGAATCTGTCGCCTTTCTTGTAAATCGGTAAGTTAGTGTCAAATTCTACACCACCATTATTAATACCACCACCCCGATCTGCAGGATTGGTACACTGTCCTTGTGTTCAGTTCAGTTCAGTTCAGTTCCTACAACTATTAACCATGTACTCCCGTGCACCGGTTTTGGTTGTTGTCTTTTGTTTGCCCATTTGGATAAAGCAGCAGAATGATGATCAGAATGTTGAGAGCAGATTCCGGCGGGATATAACGCATTTACATAGACTGAAGTTACAAGAATAATAAGTAGATGCATGAGCGCCACTGTTTGCGACACCCAGCCATATCGCTCAGTGTCTCCAGCCATCGGTGACCATGATCTCGGGGTCTCCATCCAGGGAGCCTAACGAGACCTATGTGACCCAGACTCCTGGTTAGGGGTTTCATTCACTAGGTCACCAGGTCTTCGTTTGACCGCCCTTGATCTTTTTCCACCCACTACCTGCCTCGACAAACATCGCTCACCGTGGGATGGACACGATATGAAAGGTGTTAATCAACAATGAATAAAGCAGCCGTGAAAGTATTAAAAAGACGGTAGATGAAGAGTGGGAGAATAGAAAGTATCATAGAAATACGGGCTCTCATTCCTATGGAAGCTGCCGTTGTCGGGTTCTTCTAATGTAATAGTTTAGTGTCGTTCTTCAGTGCAGTGACGGAAGTTGTAAATGATGTTTCTGTGTCCCTTGTTCACCATATGCTGCAGGGTTGAGCTCTCCAAGCTCCTCACTGTTCCTTTTCGAAGAGCGGTTGTAAAATGTTCGGATATTCTCTTGGACAAACTCTTCGTTGTGCTTACGATATAGCGGGCACTACAAGTTCACGTAAACTGATGTGGAACAAAAGACTGGGATTAATGAGGCAGATAATTAAACTGTTGAACAACGAATGGCTTAGTTCACGATGAGAGTCATGAATGCGTCGCGGGAAAATAGCTGGCAATGAATTTGGATAACTGATTTTCCAGGATTTCTAATGCTATGTCTCCCTTGATAGGAACGTTGATGAACACCTTACTAATCAGTTGTAATTTTCCATCGTTTGATTTTGATTCCAAATGTCTTATCCGTTTCTCCTGAGGATGTCTTTTATGTGGGTCAACTCTTCGTTCGAGGTCCCCGGATTTCAAATGCTCTTTGCCGTGTAAGCTAGGCAGTTCAATAAATTCCGTTTGCATCTCAGTGAGACGAAACTGTAAAACTGTGTAATATCTTATCCACGTGTACTTTACTTTACTACTTCTAGCTCCTTGGAAAGAATAAGTCAGCTCCATACATGATAATAAGTTCAGTTCAGTTCAGTTTGTACAACCATTAACCATGCACTATCGTGCATCGGTTTTGGTTGTATTTGCTGTATTTTGGTTGCCCATTTGGATGAACATTAGGAGAAAGACAGGAATGGTTGAAAGTAGGATCAAAGAGAAAATTTACAATTTCAGTTCATTAATGCTGCAGAGAAATTGAGAAGATGCACGAACGCCACTGTTTACGACATCCAGCCATATCACTCAGTGTTTCTAACCTAAGGTCCCCATCCAGGGAGCCTTACTTGACCTATGTGACCCAAACACCTGGTTAGGGTTTTCATACCCTCGTGCCAGGTCTTAGCTTGACCACCCTGGGCTGTATTCCACCCACTACCTGCCTCGGCAAACATAGATCGCCGTGGCAACCTATTTGGTGACATACATTACACATGCCCCAACCAACGTAATCCATGGAGGTCGACCACTTGTTCCACTGGACGACCGCGATTACCTGAAACTTTTCGCCTGACCTCAGCATTACTCGTCCGGCTACTCCGCCAGATTCGTGCAGTGCTGCGTAGATAGCGATGTTCAAACACCTTTGTCCTGTTTTCTGTTGTATGGTTCTGAAACCTGGTCATTGAGAGCTAACAATATAAAACGATTAGAGGTCTTTGATCACTCGTGCCTCTGATGTATATTGAGATTAAACTGGCGAGACGGAATTTCGAGCAAGACCATTATAAACCGAAGTATAA